CACGTGGGACTTGGTGAGGCCGGTGGGTGCGCACCGAGAGGGCTGAGGGACAAGCGGAAGAGAAGCTGCTGCGAACTAGGGCCACCCAGTTGGCCGGGCGGAGGTTCCTGTGTACGGCGCGGCCTCGGCCACCTAGCCAAGGACCCCGGGAAGGGTCGAGCTTCCCGCGCATGAGAACCCACGTTTAGACATGTTCTCGCGCCGCCCGGGTGCCTCCCGCCCTGGACTCTGCATCACAGTCACCTGGGGGCCTCACCAAACCACAGGTGCCCGGGACCCGCCCCTCGCGGTTCTTTTATGGAAGTCTCGCTTCCGGGAAGAGGTCATCCTCCCTTCTTTAAATCTGTGGCTCTCAACACCCACAAGTGTGGGAATTACCAGCACGCTGTGCAAAAATCCAGGTGCTCAGGCCAGCCCCAGACTTACCGAGTCAGTGTGGGGAAGGGCAGGAACGCCTGCTGCTTTTTAAGCCCCTGCAGGCGCTTGTGATGCAGTAGGCAGTTAGAAAAGTAAGTAGTGAGTGTCCTTATTCGGTTTGTCTAAAATTAAAGGTGGGGAGGGCAAAACCCGGGAGGGATTGATTGCATCTACTGTTCTGCAAAAATGTCTAGCTCCGCTTCCCAAAAAAAGCCTTAATTATTTTTGTGCTTCAAATATAAAACACGTAGGTTTATATATTTCAATATAATTTTGTAAAACAAATGTTAAGTTTTACTGAATGTTGTCGCTGAACAAACTAGTGATGAGGAGGTATTTTAGAATCTGTGGAGCTTAAAAGAAAATCATAGGACTCAAACTGCCACCAGGATTATGCAATCTAAGAGTATATTAACCACTTTTAAGAATTGTGTGTTTTTCTCTTTTTTGAGCTTTTGACGGTTTGACAGGTTCATTTCATTTGAATGTTGGTTCTGAAAGTGAAGCATGCAGTTACTTTTCCATTAACATACATACCATTACCTTTTTAAAGTACCTAAATTCCTGAAATCAGTGCTTAATTTTGCAGCACATATACTAAATTAGAACCATACAGAGATTAGCACGGCCGCTGCCCAAGGATGTCACACAAAATTGTGAAGGGTTCCATATTTTTAAATATATGCACCTACTATGTAAACACAAAAATTTAAATAAACACATAAATTCCTAAAAGCTATGCCAATCCAATCCAGATAATTTTTTTCAATTTTTAAATTTTTTTGTGGGTATATAATAGGTATATATATTTATGGGGTACATAAGATTTTGATACAGGCATACAATAAGTAATAATCACATCAGGATAAATGGAGTATCTGTTACCTCCTTTGTAACAAACATTTGTCCTTTCTTCGTGCTACAAACAATCCAATTATGCTCTTTTAGCTATTTTCAAAAACAAAAAACCACACACACACACAGCGGCCTGGCCATGCTGCCCAGGCTGGTCTTGAACTTCTGGTCTCAAGCAATCCTCTTGCCTTGGCTTCTCAAAGTGCTAGGATTACAGGTGTGGACCTCTCAAAGTGCTAGGATTACAGGTGTGAACCATTGTACCTGGCCCTTTTGTCCTTTTTAAACTCGGATTATTGTAATTTTTCCTGTTGAGTTGTTCAAGCTCCTTACATAATCTGGTTATTTATCCCTTGTCAGATGGACAGTTTGCAAGTATTTTTTTCTCATTCTGTGGAATGTCTCTTCACTTTGTTGATTGTTTCCTTTGCTGTGCAGAAGCTTTTTAACTTGATGTGATCCCATTTGTCCATTTTTGCTTTGGATGCCTGTGCTCTTTAGGGTATTACTCAACAACGCTTTGCCCAGCCCAGTGTTCTGGAGAGCTTCCCCAGTGTTTTCTTTTAGTAGTTTCATGGTTTCAGATCTTAGATTTAAGTCTTTAATCCATTTTGATTTGATTTTTGTGTATGATGAGCGTGGGTCAAGATGGCCAGGGTAGACCTATGTTAATTCTAGCTAAATAATTATAAGCTTGCTTGGCTCAGAGTACACTGAAGTTTATACGCCAAACTAAACTATATTATTGGTATCGTCAAGCGTCAACAGGAGGCCTAAGGTAAAGACCAATAAAGTGCAATAACACTGTGGAACACCTAGGGGTGGTTGCAGAGCAGGCAATACTGCTCTGGTCCCAAGAATGCCTTCTCAACATGGAGACTGCATGAGGGTCTCGTAAAGAGGGCTTGTGCAAAGATCTCTGAGAAGGGAGGTGACCTCTGCTCATAAGATCGGAGAGGGTCTTTGCAGATGGGAGCTGGCAAGGAGGAGAAAAGCCTTGCAGGGCAGAGATCATGGAACACCTCAGGCTCTGGCTAGGTTCTTGGAATGTGGAGTGATTTTAATTGCTCTTTGTCCTCAATGCTTGGAAGATAAAAACCCCTTGATGTATTGGGTGCGGTCAGACCTGGTGGCTCCTCATCCAGTATACTTCTGATGCAGCTGCACCTCAATAACAATCAGTGATAAACTCAGAATACTAGTTTAGCATGCCTTAGAAAGATCTCAAGTGTTCCCCACCCCCCATTTACCTACCCCCTCACCTTCCCCTTCCATGCTCATAAGATCAATGAGATTATGCACATAATGAAAGTGTTTGGAGCCCAGAGCTTGGGGCCAGCAGTGTTCCCACACTTGCGGTCCCCTGGACCCATGCTGTAAATTTTACTCTTGTGTCTCTGTCTTCATTTCCTTTTCTCAGTCCATCATCACTGCAGGGACTAAGAGTACCCACGTACAATACCCAACAATGAGAGATAGAGGTCTAGGTTCATTCTTCTGTATTTGGCTATCCAGTTTTCCCAGCACCATTTATTAAAGAGACTGTCCTTTCTCCAATGTATGTACTTGGCACCTCTGTCAAAAATGACTGTAGATGTATAGAGCTGTTTTTGGGTTCTCTATTCTGTTCCATTGTTGTTTTGTTTTGTTTTGTTTTGTTTTTGAGACAGAGTCTCACTGTGTCACCCAGGCTGGAGTGCAGTGGCGGGATCTGGGCTCACTGTAACCTCTGCCTCCTGGGTTAAAGTGATTCTTCTTCCTCAGCCTCCTGAGTAGCTGGGATTACAGGTGCATGCCACCATGCCCAGCTAATTTTTGTCTTTTTTGTAAAGACAAGGTTTCACCATGTTGGCTAGGCTGGTCTCGAACTTCTGGCCTCAAGTGATCTGCCCACTTTGGCCTCCTGAAATTCTCAAACTGCTGGGAATACAGTCGTGAGCCACCAGGACCAGCTAATTTTTGTACTTTTAGTAGAGATACGGTATCACCATGTTGGCCAGGCTGGTGTTGAACTCCTAACATGAAGATCCACCTGCCTCGGCGTCCCCAAGTGCTTGGATTACAGGCGTGAGCTACTGTGCCTGGCCCTGTTCCACAGTTCTTTGTGTCTCTTTTTATGCTAGTACCACGTCATTCTGGTCACTATAGCTCTGTAGTATAATTTGAAGTCTGGTAATGTGATTTGTGATAGATATGGCTATTCTGAGTCATTTGTGATTCTATATAAATTTTAGGATTGCTTTTTCTACTTATGTGAAGAATGTCAGGTATTTTGAAAGGATTGCATTTAATCTGTAGATTATTTTGAGTAATATGGACATTTTAACAATATGGAAGGCCGGGCGCGGTGGCTCACGCCTATAATCCCAGCACTTTGGGAGGCCGAGGCGGGTGGATCACGAGGTCAAGAGATCGAGACCATCCTGGTCAACATGGTGAAACCCCGTCTCTACTAAAAATACAAAACATTAGCTGGGCATGGTGGCACGTGCCTGTAATCCCAGCTACTCAGGAGGCTGAGGCAGGAGAATTGCCTGAACCCAGGAGGTGGAGGTTGCGGTGAGCCGAGATTGTGCCATTGCACTCCAGCCTGGGTAACAAGAGCAAAACTCCGTCTCAAAAAAAAAAAAAAAAAAAAAAAAAAAAATAAATGTAAAAAAAAAAAAAAAAAAAAAAAAAAAAACAATATGGATACTTCCAATCTGTGAACATGTGATGTCTTTCCATTTTTTTGTGTCCTCATCAATTTCTTACAGTTTTCACTGTAGAAATCTTTCACTTCTTTGGTTAATTCCTAAGTAATTTATTTTATTTCTAGGTATTGTAAATGGAATTACTTTCTTGATTTCTTTTTCAGATTGTTTACTGTTGGCAGTAGAAATGCTACTGATTTTTATGTTTTGATTTTGTATCTTGCATGTTTACTGAATTTGTTCATCAGTTCTAATAGTTTTTTGGTGGAGTCTTTAGGTTTTTCCAAATATAAGATCACATCATCTGAAAAGGATAATTTGACTTCTTCCTTTCCGATTTGGATGCTCTTTATTTCTTTCTCTTGTCTGATTGCTGTAGCTAGAACTTCCGGTATTATGGTGAACAGCAGTGGTGAAAGTGGGCATCTTTGTCATGTTCTGGGTATGACAGGAAAAGCTTTAAATTTTTCCTCATTCAGTATGATACTAGCTGTGGATCTGTTGTATATAGCTTTTATTATGTTGAGTTTTATACCCAGTTTGAGGGTTTGTATCATGAAGGGATGTTGAATTTTATCAAGTGCTTTTTCAGCATCAATTAAAATGATCATATAGTGTTTGTCCTTCATTCTGTTGTTATGATGAATCACATTGTTTTGCATATCATGAACCATTCTTGCCTCTGGGATAAATCCCACTTAGTCATGATGAATGATCTTTTTAATGTGTTGTTGAATGTACTTTGCTAATATTTTTGAGGAGTTTTGCATCAGTATTTATCAGTGATATTGGCCTGCAGTTTATTTTTATTTCGTTTATTTATTTTGATGTGCCTGCCTGATTTGGCAACAGGATAATACTCGCCTCACAGAGTGAGTTTGAAAATAGTCCCTCCTTTTCTATTTTTTGGAATAGTTTGTGTAAGATTGATATTAGTTTGGCGGAATTTAGCAGTGAAGCCAATGGGTCCCAGGCTTTTCTTTGCTGGGAGATTTTTTTATTATTATTGTGGCTTTGATTTCATTACTTGTTATTGTTCTGCCCAGGTTTTGGATTTCCTCAAGGTTAAATTCTGGTAGGTTGTATGTGTCTAGGAATTTATTTATTTCTTCTAGGTTTTTTATTTATTGGCATATAATTGCTCATAGTAGCCACTAATGGTGCTTTGAATTTTTGCAGCATTAGTTATAATGTCTCCTTTTTTGTCTTTGATTTTATTTATGTGGTTCTTCTCTCCTTTTTTCTCAGTCTGGCTAAAGGTTTGTCAATTTTGTTTATTTTTTCAAAAACCAATGTTTTGTTTCATTGTTCTTGTTTATTGTTTTCTTTGTTTCAATTCCATTTATCTCTGCTCTGATCTTTATTATTTCTTTTATTCTATTAATTTGCAGTTGGTTTGCTTTTGCTTTTCTGGTTCTTTAAAATGAATCACTAGATAGTTTATTTGAAGTGTTTCTATTTTTTTGATAATAGCATATAGCTATAGAAAGACTTTCCTCATAGTACTGCTTTTGCTGTCTTCCATAGGTTTCGATATATTGTGCTTCCATTATGGTGTGTTTCAAAAGAAGTTGCAGTTTTCATCTTAATTTCTTCATTGACTCAGTGGTCATTCAGGAGCATATTGTTAATTTCCATGTGTTTGTATAGTTTCCAAAATTCCTCCTGTTATTAATTTCTAGTTGTATTCCACTGTGGCCTGAGAAGATACTTTATATTATTACATTTCAAATTTTTGGATGTTTTAAGGAAATGTTATGTAAATATCTATTAGGTCCATTTGTTACATCATGCAGATCAAGTCCAATGTTTCTTTGTGTAATTTCTGTTGGAATGATTCATTCAGTGCTGAAAGTGGAGTATTGATATCCCCAGCTGTTATTCAATTGGAGTCCATCTCTCTTTAGCACTAATAATATTTGTTTTAGATACTTGGTTGCTCCAGTGTTGGGTGCATATATATTTAAAATTATTATATCCTCTTGCTGAATTGACCTCTTTATTATTATATAGTGAGCTTCTTTGTCTGTTTTTATAGTTTTTGTCTTAAAATCTATTTTGGCTGATATAAGTATATCCCTGCTCTTTTCTGGTTTCTATTTGCATGGCATATGTTTTTGAATCCTTT